CCCTTGAACAGAGTTTCAAGGTCACGAAGGTTGACATAGTCTGCATCCATCTCAAGTAAATCATCAACTCTCCCATTTACATAAGTAAGCTTTCCTTCATCATTCTTAACCAACACACCCCCATGATGATATCTTATGACTATATATTCGTCCATCTGCATAGAAAACAGAACACAAACATTTTTTACACTACCATTGCATTATTTTACAATATCATCAAACCAATCATGATTTATCAATATTACAATAATACTATAATAGTCAGGGACAACCACTTAGAGATTTTTTAAATGGCCATGTCGTCCATTGCTAAAAGCTCGGGTCCACAAAACACTACACATAGCTGTAAAGAACCAATTCAACCCAAAAGCTTAAGCTGTTGGGTGAGGCTACATTAATGGCTTTATATATCTCAACACGCCCCCTCACATGAGAGCCCACTGGGCTTGCAGGGTGGACAATGCACAGGCCCACCTACCTGTGCGAACAAAGATATTCCACTTGAAAGAAAGTGGGGGGCAGTGAGGATCGAACCCAGGACACGAGGCTCTGATACCATGTAAAGAACCAATTCAACCCAAAAGCTTAAGCTGTTGAGTGAGGCTACATTAATGGCTTTATATATCTTAACAATAGCAAATATAAAACACGAAATAGGGACCACATGCAACAAGTTTCGTACAAAATAAAACCCTAACAATATCTTTACCAGGTACCGTACATAGGGGACAACATTAAACAAAAAACAATGACTTATTCACAAGGGGGACCACAGATAATAAAGAAATGACTTGTTCCACGTACCTTGTTCGAATGTGACCACACTCACAATCGTATTTCTGATGTTGACCAAATAACCACACTACTTCCAAATCCTTGCAACTGCAGAGGCGATGTTGACCCACAACCCACCATTCCTCACAACCTTCACCGGAAATGTAGCTCACGACCAGAGGAAAGGGGGGTTTGTAGAAGTTACTTGTTGTTGTCTGAGTGTGTCAACTAAGTTAAGACCAAAGTGGAAGATTTCCCCTCTACAGAAACGACGTCGTCCGCTTCTAATTACAACTGCTACACATCGCATATTCACAACGACGTCGTTCCTTTCATCCAACGTGGCTTGTGACGTGAGTGACTCAGCAAACTAACGTTCCACGTGTGCTCCGTTAGTTGGGTCGTTGGATGCCAACTAATAGAAGGACAAACGTGGCACTATTTTTCTAAAATTAAGGACCAAATTGAACCTTTTAAATTGTTGGGGACCAAAAGGGCCTTCGCAAAAAATTTCAGGGACGAAAAAGGGTATTTACTCTTTATGTTATATATATGTTTTATGCAGATCTAAGATGCTGCAAATAAATATACGTGCATCCAGTTGCCAAAACATTCTTACTTTTCACAATATGTAAAGCTTTACATTGAAAGACACAATTATCTTTCTACATATGTTTTTAATTTCTTTAAAATTGTTATTACAAATATCAATTATGATATAAATAAATTCTATAATTATTTTTAAAAATCAATATATATATATATATATATATATATTTGCTTTAATATTTCTACAGTGAATGTAGATAAGTTATCTACATTAACTCCCAAAATAATGTCGTTTTGCGTTGAAAGATTAAAAAATTATAATGAGAAAGACTATTATAACCCTGAAATATATTATAATTACAAAAATACCTTGATTTTTGCCTCAAAACGACATCGTTTTGGGTTCAATGTAGATAACTTATCTATATTTACTACAGAAAAAACGAACTCATATAATATATATATATATATATATATATATGATAAAATTATTTCTCTAGCTGCTGGACGTCCAGCAATAAATCTTCCACCGTTGATTGGTTATGATTCCTCGTATTTAATGCTTTCACTCATCTTTGTATGATTATGATTTTACGAATTTATTTATTGGACGTTAAGCGAGTGGAGAAAAGTAAAACCATATATATATATATATGTGTGTGTGTGTGGGGTAGGATATTCTTACACCGGTGTAAGAGTTAGAAGTCTTACACTCAATCTTGACCATTGATCCATTTGTATCCAATGGCTCACATTACTAAAAAATTTGAGCCCTTAGATATAAGTGGGATCAACAGACAAGATTGATAGTGTAACTTACACTGGTGTAAAATGATCCTGACTTATATATATATATATGGAAAAAATATTTCTCCGGCAACTTGAGATAAGTTTATCTCCGACCACCCCAAAACAACGTCGTTTTGTTTATTTATTTCCTTATATTAATTGATTCACCTTTGAATGGTTATGATTCCATTTTACTCTCTCTTCCTTCTTTACCATTGATTCATCTTTGTACGGTTACGATTTAGTAATCAGAGATAAAATTATCTCAAGCAGCTTGAGAAACGATAAGCCATATATATGGATAAGATCCTTTGATATCGGTGTCAAATTTAAAGTTTGACACCTCATCTAACGTTAGATAAAAAAAGATCAATGGTGTCACGTGCTTACAAATCAGAGTCGTTGATATTTTTTGATCTAATGGCTCTCAGATGAGGTATCAAACTTTAAATTTGACATTAATGTCAAAGGATCCTGCCCCATATATATATATATATGGGAAAAGTGTTTGTCGTTTTAAATGACACAACTTGTGTCATTTCACTCTCTCAGAAAAGTGGGACCTACATCTTTATATTTTTTGTCCAGTTTTTCTCCTCTTTTATCTATCTCTTTCTCTCACTTAAATTGACACAACTTTGCATCCTTTAAAATGATACACATTTTTCCATATAAATATATATATATATATATATATATATATATATATATATATATATATATATATTAATGGTTACATTCAGTGTTATAAAAACTGGACCAGACCGGTCAGTTCGAACCGGAATCCGGTAAACCGGTTGTGTGACCGGTCCGGTTAACAACAAGGATCGGATATACAAGCGAACCGGTGTGAATCGGGTTGAACCGGCCGGTTAGTGGTTAAACCGGTGACTCGGGGGGTCAAACAAATCAACCGGTGATGAACTTTCCCAAATTTCTTCTGCACATCTTCAAGATCCGGGATAGACAAAGAAGAAGAATACTCCATTGATGTGATAGGTGAAGAAGCAAAAAAGTAACAAATTAGATCCATGGCAGCAAAGAAGAACAGGCGAAGAAAAGCCCGACGGAGGAGCCAAGAAAGAGGACAGACCCATCCCTCTTGTTTTTAAATTGGACATGCATTGCAAAAGATGTGTCAAGAAGGTGTTGTTCGCCATTTCAACGATACTACCATCACCAATCATATCTGGATTCAAGGTTTTCTTTGTTCTAACCATAGAAGAAAAAGAAACATGGAAGAATGGAAAAGGGGGAAAGGGGAAAGAACTCTACTTTCTGCGCTGATGTGAAGTTGTGAACAAAGAGATTGAGTCTTTTGATTTTCCCCCAAAGATGAGTTTTTTAATTTTCTATAAATAAATTATTTATTTATTAGTACATGATGGAAGAGTGCTAGAGTCCCCTCGATAATGTCAATTTCTTTTTTTTGGTACAAACGATAACGTCAATTTAATTAGCCCATTTATTAGTACATGAATGGAAACTGAAACGGTTGATTTAAAAAAAAAAAATTAATAATTTTGAAATGAGTTTTATATTTTCATATTTTCTTCCTTTATTATTTTTTCTTCTATTAATATATGGCTTTAATATTTCTATAGTGAATGTAGATAAGTTATTTACATTCACTCACAAAACAACGTCGTTTTAAATTAAAAAATTATAATGAAAAAGACTATTATAAGTTATAACCCAGAAATAAATTATAATCACAAAAATACCATAATTTTAGTCCCAAAATGACGTCGTTTTGGGCTCAATGTAGATAACTTATCTACTTTGACCGCAGAAAAACGAACCATATATATATATATATATATATATATATATATATATATATATATATATATATATAGGTCATGTGGTTGAACCAGTGACCTACTGATTGAACCATTGACCCAGTGACCCAGTACTCTTGACCGGTTCGATAACCAGGTCGGTTTTTTATTACAAAAAAAATTAAGAAATCACTACTTTATTTTTGCTTTACCCGCAATCAATTTATTTCAAACTTATGGGAAGATTAATGTTAAAAACTATTACATATTAATATTTATCATTTTTTTCTCTAAGAAATAATTCCCCAGTCGAAAAAAGAGTAACAATTAAAAAATATTAAAGGAAGATTAAATTTATTTGATTACAGGGCAGAGGAAGATTTTTTGAACAATTCAATAACCCTTTTTTTTGGGGGAAACCAGAATGCTAAGAAAGTTGACATACACTTGATCCATATTTTCCACGTGATCTTTTGACACCTTAACCCTCATTTTAGGATCTTTTATATCCCTAAAATCTTGAATATGACTCTTCTTTTTTTATTTTTTATGAGTTTTTTTGTCAGTTATTACTCCTACTTACTCGTTGAAATACATCAAAGTGAAACTCCTCAATTTTCTGACAACACACTTACATATTGTGGTCATTTGGCAATACACATATTATTTTATATTAATAATTAAAAAATATGAATTACACAATAAATAAGATTGATTAATAATTTTCTCACTTAAACCTTCTCCCCCTTAAGCCTCGGAAGCCAAGACTGATCCAGCACCCTTCCAATATAATAGAATCTTTAAATTGCCTAAATTCTAACAAGAAGAAAAATTCTCTTACTATTATTGAAGAAACCCTTCAACTGAGAGGAGAATCTGCAATCCTTACACTAATGGTATATACTCATAATTCATGTCATGTCATTTCAATGATTCACCAAGTTATACTAATTTTTCAATTACATGATGTAATTTCTTGTTCAGGAACATGGTACCAATGAGAACAGAGGAGGTCAAACAAGAAGGCCACCTAATGAGCAAGAAAAGCTTGAAAAATGGTTGCCCATAACAGCATCAAGGAAAGCAAAATGGTGGTATTCAACTTTCCACAATGTCACAGCTATGGTGGGTGCTGGAGTGCTAGGCTTGCCATATGCTATATCCCAGCTTGGATGGTATTTATAAAATCATATATCTTTCATCATTTCACTCCATACACATAAAGAAGCTTAATTAACTCTTGTTGCATTTCATTGGAAATTTTTTCACATGCCCTTATGTTCATGGTGGAGCGATGGAGAGGCTAGCAGGGCAATCCCCCGGTCCAATTTTTTTTTAGTTTCCTAACCGGTTTATTCTTCGGATTACATCTGGTTCGAACACTTGTCAGACCTTATTAAAGGGGATAGCTCTCCCAAATCTTTTTTATTTTATTTTCAAGGCTCGAACTCGAGACCTTTGATTAAAGGCTCAAACTTCTTACTATCTATGCCAAGTCTTTAGTTGTGAATAATATTTCTTTTTCTTTTTTTGTCATATAATGATTGTCCCTTTCGAGTTCATATAAGTTTTTAGATGTGATTATCATCTTCTTTTTTTAAATAAATAGTTATAACTTATAATGAAGAATACACTTGTAATTTTGCTGTTTTAAATTTTGCTTCCGACTGTGTCTTTGCTTATGTTCTCGTTATGATTGATTTGTAGGATTCCAGGGGTTATAGCGATCGTATTGTCATGGATTGTGACATTTTATTCATTGTGGCAACTAGTTCAAATGCATGAATTGGTTGCTGGGAAGAGATTTGATCGATACTTTGAGCTAGGAGAGCATGTTTATGGGCCCAAACTCGGATTCTGGATGGTAATGCCACAGCAGCTGACGGTTCAGGTGGCTTCAACCATTGTGTATTGTGTCACCGGTGGCAAGTCATTGAAGAAGTTCTTTTCTATGATTAGTCCAAACATGAGTGGAATTAGACAGACATATTTTATTCTCATCTTTATAGGCTTGCAGTTAGTGCTTTCACAAACTCCTAATTTCAATACTTTGAAAGGAGTTTCTTTGCTGGCTGCAGTGATGTCTGTCTGGTAAGTTTTTTTTTTTTTTTACTTACACATATAGAAAGGCTACTTTATATATATTTTGTCATCTATTGGTTGATTAATTAGTATAGGTTATACAATTAGAAAAGGTAATTGAAATTGATATATACCATGATCTAAATGAATTTCCTGAAATTTTATTTTTTAGTAGATAAAATGGCATCATTTGATATAGGGGTTTTAGTTTGTCCTTTAACATGACAAGAAAAATTTTCCTACACACACAATATTTTGTGGGGCCCGCACTTTTTAAAGCAAAAAAAAAAAAAAAAAAAACTAAGGCACGCAAAACGAATCTCTATAACATTATACAATCACTTTTTCTACGACATAACTCTTATAAAATCCAAATACGTAAGATCGCATAAAAAAAGGACTTAGATATTGTTGTTGGTGGGAAGAAGCGACTTAATTTGGTATGTTGTAGTAGTTCTTCCCTCATTATAGTAAGGCCATAAAAAATATTCAATAAAAAACAGATAGGGGAAGTTATTGCTGGAGTAAAAAACAGACGGGTGGAATGGCCTTGTCCAGCTGCCTCAAATCGAGTGAAACTTTGGTGCTACTCTTGCATCATACTGCCGTCCAAAAAAAAAAATATTAAAATTTAGATGAAAATAAAGATAAAAGTGAGGGTTTAAATGGAAAGAAAACTTTTTCTTTTTTGAAAAATGATATACCCACTTAGATATATTTGATGTACTGAAAAATTCCCCCTCAAATGGCTGCTAGGCAAGGTCATAGACATTTAGCACTTAAGGGCACTTAATCTCTTAATACATGTGTTCTCTTTATATTTTTTGTTGAGATATATATAGTCTCCCATTGGTTGTATGAGTAACTAATGTAGAGTTTATATGGCCTTGGGCACTCCCACCCTTTGAGCTAGCTTTTAAGGTGGTGTATTCCAAGGTTCTTTACATGGTATGTGCAATTCCACGCTTCTAGCCCAAATGGCTCTTGCGTGAGGGGGCGTGTTGAGATATATAGTCCCACATTGGTTGTATGAGCAACTAATGTGAAGTTTATAAGGCCTTGAACACTCTCACCCTTTGAGGTAGCTTTTAGAGTTGTGTATCCCAAAATTCTTTGTATTTTTCACACACGCATGACGTTTTTCACGTTAGAGTCACACCCTCACACTATTATAAAGCTCCCCAAATTAAAACGGTTATGACATCACAATTTCCTCGTATGAAATTTTCCTCCTCCTATAAATAAAGGATCTCATCTCACGAAGCGGGGTCATCTTCTCCATTATTCATTCACCTTGAAGAAACTCTATTGAATTCACTTCTAACGAGCCATATAATGGTGCCCTATTAACATTCCCCCTTGATTCCAAGGAGACTAGTACACTGACTTCATTAATTGAGCCTTGATATGTACTATTGCCTCTTCAGTCATTGTCAAATCAATTATTAATTATATGCCTTACATTGTTCACAAAATATAGTGTATGTTATCATATCTAAATAATTTACAGTTACTCGATGGTGGCGTTTGGCACGTCAATGGTGCACGGGGTTCATCATCATCCATCTCATTATGGACTTCATTCTCATACCGTTGCTGGGAAAATTTTTGATACGTTCAATGCGCTTGGAACCATAGCATTTGCATTTGCAGGACATAGCGTGGTTTTAGAGATTCAAGCTACATTACCCTCAACCGAAGAAAAACCTTCCAAAAAACCAATGTGGCGAGGTGTGATTGTTGCATACACCGTAGTTATTGCTTGCTATCTTTCAGTTGCAATATCTGGGTTTTGGGCATTTGGAAATTCTGTTGAAGATGATGTCCTTGTCTCACTTGAACGTCCAAGTTGGCTTATTGCTATTGCTAATCTCATGGTATTCATTCATGTCATTGGAAGCTTTCAGGTACACATAAATATATATATATATATATATATATATATATATATATATATATATATAAATACAGGAAAAAAAAAGTTTGTTATAATTTTGTATTATTTTAGCTCCTGACCGTTGATTTTCGTCAATCAATGATTATAATTTATTGGGTCGAACTGTTATAATTAATTAGTAATTCATAATAAATTATAATCGTTGATTGACATAAACCAACCATTAGGATCTAAAATGACAGAAAAACAAACATTATTCGCATAAATAAATGAAATTAAATCATTGTTCAGTTTCAAAAATTATTTGTAATAACATATATATAACAATTGTTTTCTTTCTGTTCAAGGTTTTTGCTATGCCTGTTTTTGATATGATTGAGTCATCTTTGGTGCAAAAATGGAATTTTAGTCCCTCAACGATTCTTCGCATCGTTTCTCGAAGCCTATATGTGGGTAAGAACTACATTAAATGACGTTTTTAATTGGTTATTTGAAACTGTTAATATATATTATAGTTTTAGCTAAGTATATTTTAACATGCATTTTTCATTAATTTGTAGCTGTGGTTGGATTTGTTGCTATATGTATTCCATTTTTCGGAGGATTGTTAGGCTTCTTTGGAGGACTGGCATTCGCATCAACATCGTATATTGTAAGAAATAATATTATTATTTACCAAGTTTTAAATCTTACAAGTACTTCTAAGTTTTAAAAACATTTGATGCAGATACCTTGTATATTATGGCTTGGGGCGAAAAAACCAAAACGATGGAGCTTCCATTGGATTGCATCAATGGTATAATTTTCACACTAAACTGATTTCAATGTTCATAGCAAAGAATTTATAGATATCTAAGTTAATTTTAATTTTTGTTTTTCATTACAGGTTTGCACGGTTGTTGGCATTTTAATAGCAACCCTTGCACCTATTGGAGGAATACGAACAATTATTCTTTCTGCAAAGACTTACAAGATGTTTTCCTGAGTACAAGATTCGTATTCTTAGCTATGTTATATAATATTTTTTTTCTAATCTTTAGAACATTATTTCGTAGAATTCACATGTAAGTTTCTTTTTCAAGTATATTTCGCAGAAATTTTAGCTGCGAAATTATTTATGTCTGTAAATAATTTTTTCAAGATTTTATGTCGGCTACAAATGTTGAAGCCCAAAGCCATGCCCATATGGATTCCTCGACCCGGAGCATAATGGGTCAACTCAGCCCAATTAGGAAACTAACCCATTTTTTTGTGCGTAGTGTTCGGCACGTGTTGTTTGTTTCCTGTTATTTATCACTTCTTTTCAATTGGTTGTAATCTTTGTTGAATTCCAAGATATGTAGTTTGTTAAGGAATGAGAAACACACCAAATTTTTTTGCCGAATTCGTGATTCTACCTCTCTTTCTTCTCCCTCCTTACCAACAAGGTGATCCTAATTATGGATAACAAGACTCAATAGGAAAAACATATTAAGACTAGTGTATTTTCTTTTTTCAATTTATAAAAAAAAAGTTATACTTACAACCTATTTCTGTTTACAACCACTTACAACTATATATATCTTAACTGTTAATTTTTGTCAATTAACGGTTATCTTTTAGTGCGAATTAATAATTAATTAATGAGTTTGATTTGTAAAAATAATAACCGTTGATTGACGGAAATCAACGGTTAAGACATAGTTGTAAGAGGTTATAAATGAAACTAGATTCTAAGTATAACCTTCCTCATTTATAAATATATAATTACAGTTTTGCTTCTCTATAATTAAGCTGAGCCATGTCGAAACTTATCAAGGATATAATTTTTCTTATTTCTTTTAGTAGTTAATATTACTTAAATTCAAAGCTTTTTGTAGTTTCAAGTCGTGTCTTACTAATTAGATCTCGTTATGTTTTTTAAATCTTGGCTCAATTGATTAACTTAGTATCACTTTTTTTTATTCTTTAGAGCACTTTAATGTCTTAATTTTAAAAGAAAACACTTTATAATCTGAATAATGATACTTGTATAAACTTACAGTTAAGTGGTGCTTCTGACATGTTGAATGCAAGTCATAAAATAAATTCATCGTCCTATTATAACTTTTTTTTTTTTGTAAATGATAATATTATACACATATAGTTAGTATAGGTATCTTTGTCAATACCAACACATACCTCTGTTCAAGGTTTCCAATAACAAAACACCATTGTTCAAAAACACAAATCAACTTTTGATCTCCAAATAATCAAGATTTGAAAAAAAAATTAAGCTAGATTTGAAGAATTGAGTTAACTTTGAGTAATTTAACATTTTTTCCTAGTGTTTTGAACCATTCCTGTTAGGGGTGTTCATCAACCAATCCAAACCGATTCAACCCGCGGTAACCGAACCAAAAAACTGATAACCGAATAAACCGAAAACCGAAAAACTGAAAAATCGAAAAAAAAAACCTGCAAATTTTGATTAGATTGGATCGGTTTTCGGATGGGTTGATGAAAACCGATCCAATCCAAACCGATCCAATATATTAATTTTCCTCTACCTACTTGGGTCTTTCTCCCATCATAATCCAAATTTTTTAAACCCAAGATCCATTAACCCATCAACTAAATCCAAGAAAAAATTTAGTCACATCCCATCAACAAAATTTCATCTGTGTAGAGCTTCATATCTCATTGCCCAAAAAATAATTATATTATCGTTTACTGATGCTTTTGTATTTCAAAAAATAAATAAATTTACAAAGTCAATATATATTAAAGATGTTATTTGCACAATAATCATGAAACTAATTTTAGGATTTTTAAAAAACCGAAAACTGATCCGATCCAAACCGAAAAAAATTGGATTGGATCGGATCGGATTTGAAAAAAAAATCAAATCGAATGGATAATTACATGATCAAACTTAAGGGATTGGATCAGATGATTTTTGCTTTCAAAACTGATCCAATCCAAACCACGAACACCCCTAATTCGTGTGAGTTCATAGCTTTTAGAAGCAATAGCTCAAGAACACAACTTCCTATTCTCTTAGCTCAAGAACACATATCTGACTCTTATTAGGACTATTCATATACAGCTAACCCCTTATAAAAATAAAGGATTAATTCTGTCATGTACACAACTTCCTACTCTCTTATCTCTCACTATGCACACGTCCTAACCTTTCTATATATCATTATTATTGTGTACAATGATATGTTACCCTTTACAACATCTTTTACATAAACCACCGCGATTGTACTGATTCTAAATACAAATAATTAACCTTCAATTAGACATTCCCAATCAAACTAGATCGATCACCCAGCAATTTTTTTTTGACAAAAGTTCCATCATTGAAACCAAATTTGATTTTAGTTTCTTGTTTCAGTTGTTACAAAAGGTTATCTATAGTCAGTTAGTCAGGAAAACAATTTCTCTCCGTACAAAGCTAGGAAAGCTCCCTCCTTAGGCGATTCTCAGTGGCTTCTACCACCGTGGGAGTGCCTCTTTCTCCTCTACACGTGGAGACCAATTTTTTTTAGAGTTTTCTTGCTCTTTCTTTCTCTTGTGGTTTGTTACTTGGTGCTTTCCAGAGTGATTCACGGTGCTAGAGCTGGACTGAAAGATTGTATCTTTGTCAGTTTTGCTGTGCTCATTTTCCCATGTTTTTCTGCTCAACCCTTGGTCAGATCTACTTCTGGATTTTTCTGTGATGCTACATTTTGTGCTCTGATTGTCCCTTCTCTGTGGGTTAAAATTCTCTTTGGAGTTTCTTTTCCACCATTGGTAAAGCATGTAGATCTATCTTATTTTTCTACTTGCTTTCTCATTGGGAAATCAAATCAAAAGAAACGCTTGAAGGTTCCTAGACCCAGACCCTCCACTATGGGAGCGGATTTGGAAAATGTTGAGGACCAGGGATCTCCCATTGTTCCCACTGAACCTATGCATGCAACTGCACACCAGGTGACTGATAAAATGACTGAACGATAATTGGTTTCTAAGGAGACTCCAAGTGGTTCTCGTACCCTAGGGGAGGATGATTTTGAATCAGAATTTGAGGTTTGTTCCTCCATTAGCTTAGACTCACCCCCTCCAAACGAAATCACAAGCCCTTAAGCTAAAAAAAATAATGTTGCCTCAAACCCTTGGACAAATCTATTCAAGGACAACCACCAGCCTTCAAAAGGCCTCTCTCTGCAATACTCACCAGACAACTCTGATGATGATCTCTTGCTAGAAGAGAAAGATGTTAACTTCCTTGAAGAAATTTGAGGTTTTAGCTTGATAGAGTATGTTGCTGGTCGATTTCCAGGCAAGAAAGCACTCCTTGAAGCTTGTCAAAAATGAGGAGTGCAATTCTCTTATTCAGTTCATGAAAGTAGATGGTTGGTATTCAAATTTTTTGATGACGAAAGCATGAACAAAGTTCTGGCAGGGGGCCCTTATTTCATTTACCAGTGCCCTTTTGTTACTGAAAACCATGCCTCCGTTTTTTATTTTGGCAATAAGGAATTAAGTCGTATTCTTGTTTGGGTGAAACTTCGCAATCTACCTCTGGAGCTATAGAACTCGCAGGCATTGGGTAAAATTTTATCTAGAGTAGGAATACCTCTGTGTACAGACCAACTGATAGCATCCTTGGGATCTATTCATTTGCTAGAGTACTTGTAGAAGTGGATGCTGCCAAGGATCTCGTTGATGAAGTGAGATTCAAACTTCCCAATGGTCGCTCTTGTATACAGATTAAGTATGAAACTACCCCATCATTTTGTAGCCACTGCAAAATGATTGGCCATATTCTGAAAAATTGCAAAGCTTCAGGTGCAGGAAAGAAAACTGGTAAAACCAGCAGTGGTTTATAAAGATAACTTCACAATTGCCACTAATTAGGAAGAGGCACTCCAACCTCAGAACATTGTTGCTAAAGAGAGAACTTCTGTTCCCAATTCTGCTGCCTATCAGGTAATTATAGCAGAAACTCATTCACCACCTCAGAAGGCCCAACAGCAACCTACTGCCACTGCTAGCAATCCAAAAATTTCAGAAATATTGCAACTTGTTTCTACAAATGATGGAATGGTCCCTCTAAAAACAAAAGCTCAAAATAAAGCAACCCAAAAACAATCTTTGCTCAGCAAGGAAAAACAACACAAAGAGGTTCAAACTGAATCAGAGAAAGGGGCCAAACACTAAGAAAAGAAACATGTCGGGCTTTCCGTCAATCTAAATGATTATCTCTTCCTGGAATATCAGAGGCTTTCACTTACCTCAGAAGCATCAAGGGAAGCAATACTTTCTTCATAGCAAGGGGGTGGATGTTTTGGCTATCTTAGAAACAAAGATTGATGTCTTTTCTCTTTCTGAGATTATGCAGAGAAAGTTTATTGATTGGGACTTTGCCCATAATTTTGATCATCATAATGTTGGTCGTATCTTTTTCTTGTGGAAATCGGATAGAGTGGAACTCACTGTATTAGAATCCACTGCCCAAATCATGCATTGTGCCATCAGCTACAAAGTTACAGCAAAGCAATTCCAGGTTTCATTTATATATAGACTTCATTCTGTTAATGCTAAAAGGCCTCTTTGGGACAGTCTTACGTCTCTAGGCTCTTCCCTTGATGTCCCTTGGCTTTTAATGGGGGATTTTAACAGTGTACTATCTCCCCAAGACATAATCAATGGGAATTTCATTTCTGCTCATGAGATGGAAGATTTCTCGAATGGTTGCTCTGTTTTGGCTCTTAAGGGTTTGAACAATCATGGTTCCACATTCTCTTGGACGAATGTGAGGGATTTAGAGTAAATTAGATCGAGCTCTTTGCAACCAACAATGGATTGATCAATTCCAACACTCTTCTGCAGATATTTCTTGCATTGAATCAATCTCTGATCATGCTTCTATTTTGGTGATCACTAATATGAATTTCGTGAGAGGTAACATTCCTTTTAAATTCAATAATGCTATTGTTGACCATGCTTCTTTTTCAGCCATTATTACAAAGTGTT